TGAACTGCTGACCTTGTGGTTCAAACTGAGATTTTATCCAGTGCTTATCCTACATTGTTGTTGTTGGTAAGTGCCTTTGATTCAATTCCAACTTATAGTGACCCTATGTAGGATTTTCAAGGAGTGACTTGTGGGTTTGAGCCACTGATTTTGAGGTTCAAACTGACTATATGGTCCTACATTGTTGTTGTTGTTGTTAAGTACCACTGAGTCAGTTCCAACTCACAGTGACCTTCTATAGGGCTTCTGAGGAGTGGCTTGTGGATATGAACTGCCAACCTTGCAGTTCGAACCAACCTTATAGTCCAGTGCTTATCCTGCAGAGCCACACCAGGATTTCTTGATCCTATATTGTTGTTGTTGTTAAGTGCTGCCCAGTCAGTTCTGACCCATAATGACCTTATATAGTGTTTCCGAGGAGCGGATGTTGATCTTGACCTGCTGGTGTTGCAGTCCAGCACATTAACCCACAGTGCCACACTAGGACTCCTACATAAGACCTTGTAAAATAAACATGCATGACTTAATAAATACAATAGCTTAAATATTTATGGGCACTGCAGCCTCGTTTACCTAATATTTCAAAAACAAAGACTGTAATTGTCTTTCTTTTTGAAATATCAGTAAAGTGAATAAAAGTACGTAAAGTACATGTATGTTCTGGTTAGTAAACAATTATGAATAAAAAAAATCCTCTGACACCAACTATATTTTGAGTTTTATAATAATGAAGTGCAGGTCCATACTAAATGCTATTAACATTCGTGTTTATAGCTGTTTGGCCAAGCATTTTAGATAATCACCCAAAACTACAGTTCTTCTTTTTCAACAGAAATACCCTCTAATGCTTTATCAACTGCTTTATAAAAACAGCCTTCTGTGTATACATATAGAAGAGAGAGTAAAAAATTATCTGTACTCTGTTTATAGTAAAATGCCAGTCCATATCCACGGCTGATGACAGCATTGAGTGTGCACATTAAATGATTCTGATGAATAGGCAGGTGACAGTGAGTTATGTGGCACATAATTTTCAAATCAGCCATGCTGGCTATGAAATAATCCACCATAGACTTGGGATTCGAAAAGTTTGTGCGAGAAGAGTTCTGAAACAATTCACAGAAGGGCATAAACAGAAGTGTTTAGACAGCTGCAAACAAAATTTGTACTGATACTCAAGAGGAAGGTAAAAGTTTCTCAAAAAAAAAGACAAAAAAAGATTACTGGTGAGAAGACATGGATTCATCACTACAAGCCTCAAAGTAAATGACAGAGAATGGAATGGAAACATTCTTAATCACCAACCAAGAAAAAGTTTAAAAGTCAACCATTAGTTGGACAATTGATGCTAACAGCTTTTGGGATTCTCCAGTGCTAGTATTGGAACACTATCAGGAAAATGGTTTAACAATTAACAGTGAGATGCTTACTGAAGAGCTGAAGCCTAAATTTTGGATTAAATGCTCAGTACTGCTATCCCAAGGCATTGTAATCTTGCATGACAATGCACATTGTCACACCTCTGCCAACACTGTTGACACTCTGCAAAAACTTCATTTTGAGGTGTTAAAGCATCCTCCCTTTATTCCTGATCTAAAAGTCTGGTAGACTTTCACCTGTTTGGTCTCCTGAAAGCAGTTCTTTGAGGGCAAACATTCACCTCTGATGAAGAAATGAAGACACCATTTTATTTTTGGCTTGCAGCTCAGCTTAAAAAGTTTTTGATAAGGAAATATGAGAGCTTGTTAACAGATGGACAAAGTGTATTGAAAAACAAGGAGATTATATTGATAACGGATATATTTCTCTTTTCTGAAATTTGATTAGAATGAATTCTACAGCAGAGTGCAGATAATTTTTGACTCACCGTGGTGCATTCATTAAAACAAGAAAAAACAAATTTAAGCAAAATGTCCAATTCTTTAAATAAAAAATTAATCATACCTAGAAACCATTTTTTAAATCTAGAATTCTCTTACCTAAACTTACCTTTAAAAAAAAAGTTAACTTGGAAAAATGAACACCACTGGCGTTAATATTAGGAAGGTAAATTGGAAAGGGTCCCAACCAAGTAAATAGATTACCAGTTAATAGATTTAAAAAAAAACAAAAAAAAAACAAACAAGCTTTGGCCAGTTTTATTAAAGAAAAAACAAAGCATGATTTATTTTTCACCAGTTTGTTCTGGCATGCTTCTAATGATATTGGAATTACTTGGATCAATGATAGCCAGTGTGCACAATCTGTAGTATTTCTCGCATGCTGTGCCCAGTTCAATATTATTGCCACTGTGGTGATCGATACCAGTTTTGGCCAACATGGCGTAGTACTTGATCTCGGATTTCCTCAAAGCCGGGCAGTTGTTGGCCAGAATGACCAGTGTCACTTTGCCTTGCCGGATCATCTTCAGAGTCTGACTGTAACCCAGCATAACAAGTTGGAGCCGCGAGTTGATCGACTCCAGCGACTTTTTTGCCTTCTTTGCGGCCACCATCTTCCCTCCTTAGGTATGGGACGGCCCCCAACCAAGAGCAGCCGCCAAGATGGCCGGGGGAGATGGGGTGGGAGAAAGCCAGTTAATAGATTTTTTAAAAAAATATTATTCAAGTGAAAAACAAGTCTGAATTAATGTGGCATATATGGAAATGAAGAAAGGAGTGTCATAAGAGAAATAGAATATTTTTATCACGAACTGAATTTGTCTAACGTGTCACAACTGTCAGGAAAACTAATAATGATCTTCCCTCCGGATTACTGGAACTATACTTCTGTATTATCAGTGGTAACTGTTCCCATACCCTTATTTACTTGTGTGTGTAATGGTTGGTATGTTGAAAACAAAAATACAGCAAGAAAATAATAGCCAAATATTAAGCTTTTTAGAAACTGAATCATGTAAAAACAGTTGATTTATATCATGCAGAGTTATAAAAAGAATGGCTTAACAACTGGTTTATTGAACAGACCTGACTCAGTGAAAGTGTCAGTCTTTTATGTTCATGAATTCTTCTCTTTGCTGCTCAGATGAAGTCTGGGGCAGACTACAAGGCTTTCTTAGTTTTCCATTTGCAGTCTCACTTATTAAGTACTTAAGAAATCCGGATCGATGTATGTAAAAGTTTAAAATTGCTTTTGCTCCTTCCCAGTTTAGACCTACTTTGGAGTGGAAGAGTACCACAGGGGCTATATCCTACATATGTCTGCTTTTACTTGAAACTAGATGTTTGGGGGCACATTCTGGGCTGAGGAGGAGCCAGTGACAGAGGTGAAGCCAACATCTGGGACAGAGTTGCTTGAGTGGAACAGTTAGTTTTAGTTTAGCGTTTAGCCCCTCATCCTGGTCCTTTCTCCCATGGAGGGTCTTTGTGATTCTCCCGAATCTCCCTCAAGGCCATAGTGCCTCTAGCTAGTCATTTATAACTCCAAGCTTATTACTGATTCTTTATCCACTATCTCTCTTGATGGAAACACTTTTCAGATGACCCCAGGTTGGTTACATTTTTTAGGGTCTGTGGCTGCTTTCTGGAAAACTGGTACTTTTGACTTGCCATTGGTAAAACTGTGTGCTTCAACCTTAAGTAGACCCTATTTCTTTTTGCTGTACTGTCTTTTCCTCTGTTTTAGACATTTTAAGCTAGTGAAAGACTAATCTCTATCTGAGCGAAGCTCTCTAAGTGATACCCTTGAACCCATTTCATTTAGCTTGAGGTGATAAGTGTAACTCCTCTGACATTTTTCTTGTACTGTGTCCACACTGCTGCACTCTACATTCAACATCTCCACCACTTTTTATGTGACGTGGAGTGGGTGTTGAACTAGTGTTAACAAAATCATCTCTCCATATCTTAGCACCTTGCTTCAGTTCATGGTGGTATTTTGTGTCAGTGTAATTTTAGGCCTTTAAGGCCTCAGAGAAACTTAAGATAGGTTCCCAATATAGCATTAAGTGGATTTGACCTTGTAGTTAGCAGTGCAGTGCTTATCCTAAGTGGAGTCCTGGCACCATATATAGGAAAAGCACTGCACTGCTAACTACAAGGTCAAATCTACCAGCTGCTCCTCATAGCAATACAAGATTGCTATGAGTCAGCACCAACTCTACGGCACTTAACAATAACAAAATAGCAACAAGAATTATAAAATAAATGGAAAATACAGGAAAACAGATTTCAATTCAGTGTAATTCAATTCAATTCAATTCAGATTAATCTACTTTAGGAAGGTTTGAGTTTTATATCATTGGTCATGATTCAGCAACATTGTATTGATGACCTATTAAAATCAGGACCAGCTTTATGAGTGTGTGAACTATGCAGTTTCATAGGACCTTGCAATTACAAAGGCAACAGCTTGTTTTTATGTCTGATGTCACCTTTTTAAAAATTGTGAATCATTATTTAATAAGAGGTCAAGAATTTAATTTTGCCTTGTGTCCCTCAAATTATGTTTGGATTAATACTATTGCCCTGAGTGAGTCAGGAGCGCAGGACCTTGATGATGGAAATAATCTCTCCTTTCTCATGGTTCTAAGATGCAAATTGTGATCCACTGTATGAAATATAAATTTTGTTTATGTTTTATTAAAATAAAAAGCAGTGTTAGTGCCAATCATATAGTGTGTGTTTTTACAAACTAGTGCACTTTATAGTAAGTTAATATAATTATTATAATAAAAATTGAGTTACTCTTCTATTCATTCCATAGGTTTTATCAATGTGTTTTATTTTTACTAGTAACCTTTTCTTCCATTAATTATTATATAATCAAGATATGCCATGTGTAATATTCCTGGGTTATTAGGAATATTACACATATTCCTAATAAAGTATCACACATATGTGAGAGTGCAATTACATTCAGAAAAATAATCTTTATAAAATGATTCCATGTTCTGTTATTAAGTTGTCCTTATTGATAAAGACATTCTAAGTGATGCTTTTTTCCCCTTTAATAAAATTCAGTATAATTGACTTTCATTTTTATTCATTCTTTCTTGAAAGGGAAACATCTGGGAACAGATTTTACGAATACCCTTCATCTTGGAAATAATTAATGCGGTTCCCTTCATTATCTCAGTAAGTCCTAAAAGAATCTTAAGAGAAAATAATTTTGTCAATAGATCTAAGAATATTCTTGAAATCAAAATACCATTATATAATAAGCAACTAAGATAGATGGATTTAAACTTTGGCTAGAGTCATGGTATTAATAAATACATAGGGAAATAGAATGAATACTATCAAATGAAAACTTACGAGATTAAATACAAAAGCAAAATGAAATGCTTTTTTCCAAATGCATATTCTAAAACTGATACTTACATGGAGGTAAATATTGTTTACACAAATCGTAAAGTACTTCATTTCTTATTTATATGGTAGAGATTGCTTTTAAAAGCGGAATGTGTAGAATCAATTATAAAAGTTTTCTCTTGTGGTAAATATGATTTCTCTCTAGTTTAATCACAGAATTTACTAAAACCAATGTTCTCTTCGTAAGAAGCTTATTTTTGTTGTTGTTAAGTGCCGTTGAGTCTGTTCCAACTCATAGCAACCCAATATAGGGTTTCTGAGGAGTAGTTGGTTAGTTTGAACTGCCAACCTTGTAGTTAACAGTCCAGTACTTATACTACATCACCCTATCAGAACTCCCGTAAGAAAGTTAGCAGTATTATCTCAGCAATGTTTCTTTGTCACATTTCTCTATAGTGCCCATGATGCTATGATCTTGTTCAACTTTGAGTCCATAAATATACAACCAGCACTTTTTCAGTTTGTAAATTAAGTTCTCATATCAATTCAGTAGTGGTTTTATGATGTCCGGTGGTGGAATGATAATTTATAAAAATTATTTAAGTTTTGTTTATAAGATGATTAACTTACTTAGAGGAGCAACTAGAATTAGATTTTATGATGAGACTAACTAAATATAATTCCAGTTGGACGTGCCTCCTAAATGTCACTTAAATTTGTAGAATTGAAAGATAAGAAGTGGTTAGAATAAAAGGGCAGAATAATCTCTCCTTGTTCTTACTTTCTCCTCTGTTTCTAGGAAAGAGAAAGCACATATTTGTATTATGTGGTCACAGAAAAAAACTATTAAATAATTCGCATAATAGGATATAGTTGATATCTATTGTTGTCTTGTTAAGTGCTGTTAAGTAATTTCTGACTCATAGTGACCTTGTATAAGGTTTCCTATGAGTGGCTGGTGAGCTTGAACCACTGACCTTGCAGCTCAAACTGACCTTTCAGTCCAGTCCCACAATGAGACTTACTTTCTTTACACTTTTGAAATAATTTCCCTAACTAGACTTAGAAAATGAATGAAAAAGTCTTAACTGTTCTGTTTAATTAATAATACGAATATAGAGTATTTGCTCTATGTTTTAATTATATTTAATGACTTTATCTTTTGTTTTACTTTTCTTTTTAATCTGCTAGATGTAATTTCTTGCTTTGAGAGAAAAGTTTTAGTTCTGATTTGTTTTTCAGATATTCTGGCCTTCCTTAAGGAACCTATTTGTGCCAGTCTTTCTAAATTGTTGGCTTGCCAAACATGCCTTGGAAAATATGATTGTAAGTATTAACTCACAGTGTGGAACCAAAAACATTTTTAAGAGACTCTTTCTTTCCTTAAGTGTTCATGTCAAACAAAGTGACTGTGATTTAGAGTACCAGTCTTCCTACTTTCTTCTATACAATATAAGCTTATACTATTAGAACTTATTTAGTTATAATTATCCAAATATTTCATTTAAAACTTCTTTTTAAGATAATTTAATACCTTAGTAAGTAATTATTTTTATTTAAATTTTCATTAAAAAGGTTTTTGGTAAAATATTATGAAATGTAAGTAATATGTAATAGGAATTTATATTAATCGTTGGTTTATATATCCAAACGGAAAATCAAAACTTCTAGAATGCCCACATTGTCAAATCCCTCCTTTTGTGAGGTCCTCTGATTTGGTAAACAGAAAAAGTGTTCAGAATTTCTAAACGTCATTAAACCAAAACTTATTTGCTTTTTGGATGAGGCAGCTAGTCTTCTAAATACAATTCACTTCCAATGCAATCTGTTAATTATAACAAACTGCCCTTATTTGTATTTGTTTCATATTCCATATGAATTTATAGGTTATGTGTAAGTCCATGTTTTAGCTGGAGACCTCTTTAAAGCCTTTTTTTTTTCAAAGACTCGGTTGAGTGGGAGTGTGTAGGATAGTAGGAAGGAGACAGGAAACAAAAGGTAGAGAGGGTAAGAGATGCAAAACTCAGAGCTGCCCCACAGTTGCATTCTGCCCACGGTTGATGCTATTTGGAAGGCCTGGTTTATACCTATAACAAAATACATTTGCCATATGCTTCAATACTTATAAGTTAGCTGAAAGATATTTACTGTTCATTCATTAAGTGCATACATGTTAACATAAGTCCACTGCATAATAAACACTCCAATTAGTAAACAGTTTAGCACCTCTGCTCATTTCTATAAAATTCCTCATACACACATAGGCATACAAACATGTATGATTTATATGTATATTTTATTGTATCTAGCAAAAACACTAATTTTATTCCTTGTGCTTTCTTTATCATGTACTGATGAAGCCACCTAATCACACTTTTATTTCAGACAAGTGATTTACATAATAACTACACTTACTCTGCTTATTAATTTTTTTAAATATAAATTTATTTTGTTTTACTTTTTTTTAAAATCATAACAGAAAATATTAGAGTATAGAAATACCAGATACTAAACTTAACTACAGAGTAAAATAAATTTTTTAGAAAATAAGCTTGTTTTTCATTGAAATGGACTTTAATAGAAATGACCCACAGTTTAACTAAAAGATGTATTTGGAAAAGATGAGTATCCATAGCAAATAAATATATCTAAGTAACAAGTAACCACTGGAGTCTCATGAAGTAAATGGCCTAATGGTTTGTAGAAACATTGGACTGTTGATGACCCAAAAGAAACATTAATTTCTCTAAACATAGATTGTCAAACTGCTGATATTTGTTACTGGAAAATATTATTTGCTATTGAATAAAAAAGTAAAGTAAGCTAACAAAGAGAGAGAGACCATAAGTCAATCTTAGAGATTAAAGGTAATTTTTTTTAAAGGTTGTGCTTTGCAATACTAATTTAGGGTTCATTTTCTATTCTATATTTTGCTTTTCTTCCTCTTACTGTTTCCTAAATTTTTATCTTTTTTTTCTGCTCACTAACATTTCAGCCAGAAAAAATGTAAGCAGTGAGAATCACTCAACTAAGTTATTTGTTTTCATAGCAGTCTGGTTAAATGTATGGTGGAAGAAGATAAAATAAAGTCTCATTGAAAGTTTAGATTAGTGAAGTTATTTATCTTATGCTATATTGATTTTGAAGTCCTAGTGTGGTGCTGTGGGCTAAAGCGCTGGACTGCAAAGTCGTTTGAACCACAAAGTTGGTGGTTCAAGCTCAGCACCCACTCCTTGGAAACCTTATACAGGGTTGCTGTGGGTCAGAACTGACTCAACGGCACTTAATAACAACAGTAAAATATTGAATTTGGAATTCTGGTGTAGTGTTGTGGAAAAGTACTGAACTGCTTCTCAAAACCTTATTCAGGGTCACTATGAGTCAGAACTGACTCAATGGCACTTAACAACAACATATTTATTTAAAAATCATTAAATGCTTATTATAGAAAAGTAGAAATGAACAGCAAAGCTAAAACTTGTAAATATCCATAAATCTACCACACAAAATAAACATTAGTAATGTGTATATACTTCCAACATTTTCTGCACGTAAATACACATACAATTTAGACATGGCTTTATTTTATTTGTTCTATTTTATACCTGGCTTTTTTTTCACACAGTAGTATGTAGTACACAACAATAAATATTCCTCTTTAAAACATTTTAACACATTTATCTGAGACTATTATATAAATATTTATTAATTTATTTAACCAATTATGTATTGTTTAAAGTCATGAACATTTCATTTGAATATTAATAACTATTCAATATACTAAATATTAACCTTTTTTATTAAAGATGAACCTATATAAATATTTGTAGCCATCTGATAATTTTAATATGGTTATGAATGAATGAATGAATGATTGGGTAAATAGAGAAAATAGAAACAACATATTTCTAAATTTGACCTATATTGCCTAATTGTCTTCCAAAATTTTATAACAAATCACACGAGCAGTAGCGTAACTTGATGCTCATTGTTAGCAAATTAAACTTCATTGGGTTTCATTATTTTTTTATTATTAACCAATGAGAAATATGTAAGTAATATATTGAGTTCACATTTATTTTAATATTAATGAATTAAAACTTTAAATAAATTGTTCATTGACTACTTAATTTCAAAATTTATATTTGAAATTACCTGCCATAATTTTTTATTTTTGTGACTCAGAAAATGAGGTTTTATATTAGATATCAATTGTTACTTCCACCTTCTTTCAATATATTATTTTCTGGTCTTTTAAATGAAAATTTTCCATAAGAGATTAAGTTAACCATGGAGGGTTTTGGGCGAGTTAAATACAGCCTCTTTCAAAATGTTTACAAGACAAGTAAACTGAAATATGTAGTATATCTTCAGTCTTTTCATAGTATTACCTTTGGAATATGAATGCTGTTGTTGTTGTTAAGTGACTTCGAGTCTAGCAACCCTGTATATGGTTTCAAAGGAGTGGTTGGTGGTTTGAACTGCCGACTTTGAGTTTAGCAGTTCTGTGTTTATCTGACAGTGCTACACCAGGACTCCTGGAATATGAGTATATCATTATTTGTAGTACATGGGGTTTGTCTATTTGTAGACATAAGTCAGAATATGAATGTGGTACTGGAATAATTTAGAGTCTATGTGTTGATTAGGCCACAAGATAAATGTTAAGTATTTGAAACTCAGACATATTTGATATTTGTCAAAATTATATTTTTTTCTTAATTGTTTTAGAATGATCTACACAGAGCCATTCAGCGTACACAGTCAGCAATGTTTAATCAAGTTTTGATTTTAATATCTACATTACTGTGTCTTATCTTCACCTGGTAAGATTGTGCTTATAAGCCTTTTTGTGATTTTTTTTTAAATTATAGTTTGTAAATAATACAATATTATAAACAATTTTAATTAATAGTTGGCTAAAATGAAATAGCTTGATGTTTAACAGAAAATGTTAACATTAATCTACAGCAATGAATTACCAAGTCTTTCTTTTAGCCTGTAGACAAAAGGAATACATAACACCTATATGAGTATTGTTTGTCATTGATATTTATTACCTCTCTGACATTTCTCCCAAGTACTGTAAATAGCTAAATCACTAGCATTTGTCCTGCATGTCAAACTTGTCAAAACAAGAATTTCTCTGTCGTACCACCGACATGAAGGTGCCCTTAAGTCTCTATAGTCTTCAAAGCAGAAACACTAAGAAAACTGTCACTGCCTGTCGCTGTCTCTGCGTTTTCCATATCTACGTGATGTTCAGTGTGTTATCAGGCAGAACGAGAGGGCAGGTTCCCTGACAGTGCAAGGGAAGGCTTGGCACTTTGTTTTAACCTAGAAAAACAGCGATTTCCCTTTTCATAAGGTTACACGTTGGCAATTATAAAACAATCCAATATGAAATGGTGTACTGCACATACAGATTCAGGCAGATGCTTAAAAAGTAAACTATGAAAATTAGAAAATGAGTTAGAATAATATGTCTGTTTTGCAGGAGTCTTATATATTGTATGTAATTGCATTCTAACCGGGATTTGACTGTTTTGAGAAAAAGCAAAAGCAAATTAGGAAGTACTAAAAAAGGAAGAATACATACACAGACTGGTACAACAGAGTAAGATCTAGATATGTAGGTATGATGTCTACTTTGGATGGTGCCTTGGTTTAACATGTCCCTCTAAAGTTGACAGTGTAAATTATTTTTCAGATTTTTTTTTTAACTCTTCAGGAATTCTTTTTATGGTTTATCCAGTAAACATCTGATGACATGACACACATGACATTATTTACTTTTAATAAAATTTCATTATTTGATAAATTGAGGAAAGTTATCGTTTTTTAAATGTTTTATTGTGAATCATTTGATAGCTTACATGGGAGAACATTAGCTTTACATTCATCCTGTCTTATAACGTTTCATTGCCATGGTTACAATCCCCTCCATGCATCATCAACCAACCAAAGGGTATACCCTGTAAGCCTTTCCCCCAGTCTTCAGCACACAGTCCCTCTCCCTCTCTGGGTCTAGAGTCCCCAGCTGCTCCATCTCTCCACATCATCATCTCTGCCTCCATCTCTGGCATCACT